AAAGAAGCTAAATAAGAAGGCGAACCCAAAGAAAAACATATAGTTACCCTCTTGGATATGGGAAGTAGACAAGATTGCCGAGCAAAAATTGTGATCTTGGGGGAGGGGTGGGATGGGGTAAGGGGAGATGGGGAGAGAAATGTGAGAAGGGGAGGATGGGGGGAACTTGGGGAATTGGGATGTTTGGGATAAAGGAAGGATGGATATGGGAACAGGGAAGCATATATCTTAATTAAGGGATCCAGCTTAGGGTAGGCAAGAGACCTGAACCTAGAGGGGCTCCCAGGTGCCCAGTGGGATGTCCCCAGTTAGTGCCTTGGGAGTTGATAAGGAACCTGAAATGGCTCTATCCTATAACCACACTGATGAATATCTTGCATATCACCATAGAACCTTCATCGGGCGATGGATGGAGATAGAGACAGAGACCCACATTGGAGCACCGGAATAAGTTCCCAAGGTCCCAATGCGGAGCAGAAGGAGGGAGAACATGAGCAAGGAAATCTGGACCATGAGGGGTGCACCCACCCACTGAGACAGAGGGACTGATCTATTGGGAGCTCACCAAGGCCAGCTGGACTGGAACTGAAAAAGCATGGGATAAAACTGGACTCTCTGAACAATGAGGACTGATGAGAAGCTAAAGACAATGGCACTGGGGTTTGATCCTACTTCATGTTCTGGCTTTGTGGGAGCCTAGCCTGTTTGGATGCTCACCTTCCTAGACCTAGATGGAGGGGGGAGGACCTTGGACTTCCCACAGGGCAGGGAACCCTGACTGCTCTTCAGACTGGAGAGGGATGGGGAAAGGAGTGGGGGGAGGGGGAGTGGTGTGGAAGGAAGGGGAGGGAAATGGGAGGCTGGGAGCTATAATGAAGATACAATAAATAAAACTCAGTAACCCAATTAGAAAATGAAAGAAAAAAGCTTTACAAGTAGAAGAAAGAATATAAGAATTGGAAAATGAAGTTGAAAATCTGACCATACCAACAAAGAATATGAAAAATTTAAAGAAACACATAAATGGAACATGCAGGAAGTATGGAACTCAATGAAAAGACCAAAATCTTCAAATTATGGCCACAAGTGAAGAATCCCAAATCAGTAGCATAGACCAGATCTTCAACAAGACCATAGAAAAAATAAATAAATAAAAATGAAAGCTAGACCAGATTAAGGAAAGCCAAACCCATTCAGATACAAAAAGCACACAGAATACCAAACAGATACGGCTATAAAATGGCATATTTTCATTAAAACATGAAATATATTGAACAAAGTCAGAGTTTTAAAAGCTGCTAGACATTATACAAGTCACAGACATGCCTTAAATCCTAGCATCAAGAAAGCAGAGGTAAAAGGATCTCAGTTCAAATAAATGTAGTCTGGTCAATAAAGCTAGTTTTAGGACTGCCAAGGTTTCATAGTGAGACCCCACTGAAAACAAACAAAACCAAAACAACAAAGCCAAAAAAATTCTACAAGTCACATGTACAAGAACATCTATTAGAAGAACAGCTACTTTCTCAGTAGAAACTCTCCAATCAGGAAACCCTACAGTAATATTCTCCAAATCTTAAAAGATTGGTTTTAAGACTAAGTTCCAAGTATGAGACCAAATACACTGAACAAAAGAAGACTTGTTACACTAGTTACCTAACTAGTTACTATCACACTCCTCAGAGTGTGTATCTCACAGAGAAGCTACATAGATTGTTACATAAAACTACTCACTATTCACACAGCTAGCCTCATCTCTCCCCATTGTCTACTATTTTATACGTATCTATAACCTCATCTCCCCCCATTATCTACTATCCTATACCTATTCAATCCCCTTTAACTTCTTACCTTTGAGTTAGAATGATAGAGGTTAAATAAACAAGAGATTGCAGTCCTCATTATAAACCTTTATCCTAATCCCCAAATTAGCTGCCTCTCCCTCTGTATGCATCACCACTGCATTGCACTTACTACATCCTCCTTGCTCTCGTACACTTGATATTTATTCAACATCAACATACTCACCATCTGCCCATTCAAGTCCCATTCTTTCTCATACTTACTTATTTGCTTACTATCTACTTTCCATTCCATGCTCATTAACTATTGTCAGACTCATCCACTGAGTACCTGTTCCTACTCTACCCACTCATTATCATCTTGACCCCACCTCCATTCATTGCCAACTCCCACTGGTTCATTCACTATGTCTGTCCCAGTCACATCGACTATCTACTCCCCTCTCTATGTCTTTTCATAACTTATCCTAATTTTCTTGTGGATAATTATTATTTATTCAATCATTTTTGTGTTTGCTCATTTATAAATGTACATAGCTGTCTGTGCACCGTATATAACCACTTAACAAGAGGTTATAAATGAGAAATTCAACCTTCTTACCATCCAGTATCTTAAACTAGAATCCTCATTTTATACAGACTCATTTAACAGATCTTTGTGCATCTTCATAGACTTTCAAACCCTGGAGGTTGGAGAATGTCACATCACTCAGGAGTTTCTCTGTCTCTTTTCTCATCTCCTCTGTGAATCCATGAACACAGCTGGCATGATTTTCTGGAAATTCACATATGATCATTTTCTGGCCACAAGATATCAATAGGAAGGCACTGTAATAAGGCTTATGGAAATTGGTTAGTTTATTATTTATTACAGTGTTTTAAAAACAAACAAATAAAGGCACTTTATATCATCTAGAACCTAAAGATTATGTTTATGGAATCAAAATCTAGAAGAAGGGTGCCATGTTCCTTAGACAATCAAGAGATCTTTACAATTCAACTTTATTCAAGAAAATTTGAATGTTAGCAATTTAAATCAAAAGTGTAACACAAAAGCTGAGTCCTCAAGTTAAAGAAATGTGGTCTTCTTTGTGAGTACTTACATAGCACAGTGGACACCCCAAGTTTGACAAATCAAGTCAGGGTTCTTACCCTGCAGCTGTTTGGAAATCTCATTAGTGTCCGGTAGTTTTGAGATCCAGTGCTTCATTCATCGACTTGTAATTCATGAGCAACACATCTGCTCTGTGGTTTTGCTTTTGAGGCAAAAGCATTGTCACTCCAGGTGTTTCATAGCTCTGCAACTACATATCCACTCAGCAATAGTGAATGAAAGCAGAAATTAAAATCTTTTTTGAACGGTGATATTGCAAAAGTTCTACTGCACACAAATTCACATTGCTTATTATTTTTTCTTATATAACAAAATATGCCATTATGTAAGTTTTTGGAAACAAATGCTTCCAAATCACATGATTTCCTTTGGATTCTTTAAAATTCATCATTAGAGTAATAATGTTTTTCACTGACAAGGTAGTAAGAACAATGCTAAATGCATTATGTACCTTAGAAAGTTAGAAACTATTTACTGGAGTATAAAATGATTGTTTTAGTACTCTTGGGACTAGGGGTTTTGTTAGAACCTTAGATTTTAATGATAGAACTAGATCATTGGTTTCTCATTTTCTGCACATTGTCTTCTGTCTGCAACTTTTCCCCTAACCTAAGCATCGTTGTGATGAAGCTCATTTTACAACGTGAAATAAGCAGAAATACAACAGAGGTCTCTCGTTGACTCATAGGATGGGACCTTTATATTTTGACTATAATCTTGCTGGCTCTAGGTAATCTACATATCTTTTTATGAAGCATTGTTTATTTCTTATCCCATTAGCTCAATGATTATATTAGATCCTAATTTCATTTTAATCTTATGACCAGACTTGAATATTAGTTTACCCACTTAGTAATCAGTTTCCTATTGGAATAGCATGAGGAGAATGCCCTCTAGCTTGCCTAGCCCCCAAATCCAGTCCTCTTCCACGAGCTCACCCTTCACCCCATAGGCTATGTTGTACCATCCCCCAAATCATGCTGACTATTTGCCTGTGCTTTCCAGTTAGTTGTGACTCCTTGAGTCTGCATTTGTTCTTAGCTTGCCTACTTGACTTTGTTCTATTTCAATGGTCATTAAACTTTAATAGATTTAAAATCTCCTACAGAACTTTTATGCACAATACATACATGTCACATGCACACTGTTTATATGTATGGAGATTAATATACTTGGGCTCTCAATACTCCTCATGAGAACCATAGATTAACAAAAACACCAGTACCAAGCACAGAACATCCTAGAGACTCCAAAATGGTACTCCAGTATAGATTATCAGTGTAGCCTTTGGTTGTCTCTCAGTTGTTGAGGGTGGGCCACTATGACATTGTGTACACTGAGGATACAGAACTTGGGTTTATTCAACTAGATCTGACCTGAAAGCATCTCTTCTATGGTCCAACTTCCATGATTTCAGAAGATACTGTGCAAGCTGCTAAGGGAGTAAGGCAATTAAACTCCTACCCAGTTACAATACCAATGAACCTTTACAAACATCAACATGGCAAAATATACATATTGGTATAATAAGTGATACTCACATGTTGGTGGTAACAGCTGTGCAATTGATCTTAAAGCCTACTCAATGGGAGGGTTACCATGCCTGGTACTGGAAACTTCACTAGATTTCTAGAGATAGTGAGCTCTGAATATTAGAAAAGAATCTACCACTACCACTTTACTAGGACAGCATAATTTTATATTGCATTCTAAATCTTACCCTTATACTTGCAGATTAGTGTAGCTGCTATCCCTTACCAAGAAGTCTGTCTTTACTGCAAATGGAGATTATTATATTAAGTATATAATTAAAGCAGAGTAGACATAATGTAGAAATCAATAGATTGTGGTCACCCCAGACTCAGTGAGGATATTTACATCACTGCTCCTGAATCTATGGCTCAGGGAACATTTCTGAAGAGAGGCTGGAAAAATTGTAAAAGCCAGAATACAAGGAAGTCTGCTATAAAACAGTCTCTCAGAAATGAATGCATAAACAATATTGGAAAATGACAATATTGGTAGACATGGAAATGTAGGAAGGAGAAAATTTCATGGGATCCCATACCTAGACAAAGAACCACATACACATGGCAGGAGCAGAATTATTCTCTTCAAGGTATAAGCCCCCTTTTTTGTCTAAAGCAGCATGGTCAGTCTTGAAACTATATGCAAACCAACAACCAAACAGATTCAGTAGGTTACACACACATGCATGTACACATGCACACAGACACATGTTACAATGATGAAGAAAAAGATGCTATCATTTGAAAGTGGGTGGGAGACATGGGAGGAGTTAAAGGGCAGGTAGCTGGGAGGGACTGAAAGGCGGCAAGGAACAGGAGAAAGTGATTTGCCTTTTTAAAATTAAAAACATAGTTAAAATAATTAGACAGTTTATATATTTGAACTATATATATGCTCAACTAATGTGTTTCATATTTGTATATACAAATCAGGCTAATTAATAAGTCTACCAGTGTCTGTGATTGTGCTCTGTGTGTGTGTGTGTGTCTGTCTGTGTGTGTGTTTCAAACGCAAGACCTATTTCTCAGCAATTTTCAAGTATATAATACAGTGCTATTATCTATAGTCACCATATTGTTGATTAGATATCCAGGGTATTCATTTTATAACTAAGTGCTTGTGTCTTGATCCCATCTCCGGTTTTCTGGGCCCCATCCCCAGAGACTGATTGAACAGATCATGGAAGGCCTACAGATTTACATTTCTAACAAGACTGGGGTGAAACAGAATGTCCTTGTTCCTGTGACATGTCTTGAGAATGGACGGATTAAATACTATCTGGAGAAAGATATAAAATGCATTTTCTTTTGCAACTTCCTCC